TGTGATACTTGATGTTTTGCATCCGTTTTGGAAAGTGGGAGTGTTTCAGTTTTAGTTTTTTTGTTTGTACTTTCACTATTTCACAGTTCATGTGCTACATTGTGAGAATGTAGCACATGAATTCAGTAGGGGTCAATCTGTTGTCATTGTGAAAAAGGTCAGATTTTAGGGAATGGGAATTGGGAGTTGGGAAAAGGAGTGTTGGGAATGAGAAAGGTGTCTACTTCTTAACACCTGGATATGTCTGAAATATACTGAAATCCAATATTATCGTTGATAACCTTGTATTTCAGCTCGATCTGCTAACTCAGGTCTTGGATGTTCAGAGATTCCCTTAGCTTACTTATTCCTGACCGTGATAAGTCTTTTTTCTGATGCAGCGTGTACCTTTCTCAGCTGCTCTTCCTGATCCAGTATTTCAGTCTGGAGCTGTCTATTCCCTGCTTTGAGTTTGGCCTTCTCCTCCTCTATCTCTGCAGACAGAGTTTTTCATATATATATTGGCGCTATTGCCTCCGACTCTTTCTCAATGTTTGCCAGATTTTCCCCCTACCAAGTATTGAGCGCCTTGAGCTCCGTTCTTGCTCCTGCGTCTGCATCTTGAGCTTGTTGATGCAGCTGCTGGCGTCTAGTACACGAGAAATGAGGAGGTCTTGGACTTCACCAGTACCAGGTTTCTCTGCAGGAGGTTTATGGTCTCCTGGTTCTCGGACTTTTCTTGTGCCAGCTCTCTCTCCAGGCGGTCTATGGTGTCCAGTCTCTCCGCCCTCACCATTTCGAGCTCCCTCTCCTGGAGCTCTATGGTCTCCTGGTTCTCCTGGTTCTCAGATTTCACGTGTACCAGCTGTCTCTCCAGGCGGTCTATGGTGTCCAGTCTCTCGGCCCTCACCATTTCGAGCTCTCTCTCCTGAAGCTCTATGGTCTCCTGGTTTTCCTGGTTCTCCACCTTCATGTGAGCCAGGTCTTTCTGCAGGTGGTCTATGGTGTCCAGTCTCTCTGCCCTCATTATTTCGAGCTCCCTCTCCTGGAGCTCTATGGTCTCCTGGTTCTCCTGGTTCTCAGATTTCACGTGTACCAGCTGTCTCTCCAGGCGGTCTATGGTGTCCAGTCTCTCGGCCCTCACCATTTCGAGCTCTCTCTCCTGAAGCTCTATGGTCTCCTGGTTTTCCTGGTTCTCCACCTTCATGTGAGCCAGGTCTCTCCATGGTCTCTGGTTCTTGAACTTCTCTTGTGCCAGCTCTCTCTCCAGGCGGTCTATGGTGTCCAGTCTCTCCGCCCTCACCATTGCCAGCTCTCTCTCCTGGAGGTCTATGGCCTGCTGGTTGTCCTGGTTCTCAGACTTCACTTGAGCCAGGTCTCTCTGCAGGAAGTTTATGGTCTCCTGGTTCTCGGAATTTACTTGACCCAACTCTCTCTCCAGGCGGTCAATGGTGTACAGTCTCTCTGCCCTCACCATTTCGAGCTCTCTCTCCTGAAGCTCTATGGTCTCCTGGTTCTCCTGGTTCTCAGACTTCACTTGAGCCAGGTCTCTCTGCAGGCGGTCAATAGTCTCCTGGTTCTCAGACTTCACTTGAGCAAGGTGTCTCTGCAGGAGGTTTATGGTCTCCTGGTTCTCGGACTTCTCTTGTGCCAGCTCTCTCTCCAGGCGGTCAATGGTGTCCAGTCTCTCCGCCCTCACCATTTCCAGCTCTCTTTCCTGGAGGTCTATGGTCTCCTGGTTTTCCTGGTTCTCCGCCTTCACCTGTGCCAGCTCTCTCTGCAGGTTTGAGATCACTGTGTCCTTCTGTCTGCTCTGCTCTTTAAAGCCCTTTTCTAAAGCAGCTGCGACCTTCTTCACAGACTGAAATTTGTGGTTCATGACCTGCTTCTGGCCTTGGAACGCGGTGATGATTGACAGGTATCTACTGGCCTCTTTTGCAGACTTCTCACACGCTGCTTTCAGGGCCTCCATCTCCTGCTGAGCCTGCTGCTGTGTTGCCTGCTGCTGTCGAGTCTCTTCCTGATGAGTCTCTTCCATCTGTCTCCTCTGCTGCTGCTCCCTCTGCAGATTCTCCAACAGACTCTGGTTCTGTTCCTTCAACTCCAGCAGGTGTTCCTCCGGTGCTTCTATTTGTTTGTCCTTCTCGGATCTCTGTCTAATGCACGACATTGTGTTTAACTTTTAGCTGTGGTCTGGGTTTTCTCTGTCTGGGCCTGACACACACAGACACACATCAACAATGAGCTTTATGACATCATCACGCCAATGATGTCAGCAAAGATAAGGCCTGTTGCCATGACGATGGAATATGAGCCATTATATGGGTTTGGTTACCATGGCGACTATATGTAGGCAAAACAGAATTGTCATTTAAAATAATGGAAATTAATAATGATAATGATAATTGTTCCAGCAATGAGTCATTTTAGATGATAGTCTTTATCCTTACTTTAAATAAAATTGTATCGTAGTTACAAACCCTGATTTGTATTATTTTGATCTCTTTATGCACTCACTTCTCTTGTGTTTTTGCAAATATAAGTTATTTGGAAGCATTATAATTATCACAGTCTTTGTCATTTGTTAAATGCAGTCAATTCATATCAATTTATTCATTCTATTCATTTATTTATATGGCACAAATATGCACAATCAACACGTAAAAGAACATTTACAGTCCTAGAAGAGCTTTTCACATCATTGCTCAGGAGAGGGCTTAACTCAGAAAGGTTTAAAAACTATAATTAACACAATGGAATGTTAAAGAAATGAATTGTCTGTGAGACAAACTGAGATTAGAATCTTTCCAATTCTTGAGACATAAATTATGTTAAAGCTTGCTCCTCTCTTAGTGTTGGCGATATAATTTTATGAGCACAGTAAGAGTGACAGTGGTGACTGTAGAGGAAGCAGAATGATCCAACGGCCGCTCGAGCAGGAGAAAAACTCACCCAGAACAGAAAGTTGAAGGTAATCAGAAGATACTTGAGGCAGATAGTCAACTAAAGTGCAGGAAATCAAAATAAAAATGAATTGGATTTTCTCACGTGGTTTTGACAGATTTTGATAAACTAGTTATGGACTGAGACCTTATGATCAGTATCACAGCAAGAAAAATGCAAAAAATATAAATAATGAGGTAATAAATACGAAAATCAAGTTGTTTTTTTAATCTTAAATTAAAATATTTTCAATATCAGTTTATTTTATACAAATTGTGCTCTTTCAGATAAAGGTACATTTCTTTGCCCCATGTGTGATCTGACCTGTGTCTCTCTGTCCCCTTGTCACTCACAGCCCTTGCTCTCGGTCACAAACTATCCTAAGAATCCTGCTTTTTCACCAACTATTTTTATCCTGGTGGAGTCTCGGAATAGTCGGTCCGTGCTTGTGCCGCTTGACTCCTCCAATCCTGACTTTCCATGATGTCATTGGGCAGAATGCAGAGGGGAGGGGCAAAGCAAACAGCGAGGGCTCGTCATATATCAGCGAGTGAGTTCTGGTGGAGGACTTATCCTCCACCAGGCTTTATCTCTCTGCACCTGTAAGAGCACGGCGAGCGAGACGGAGCTCAAACCATGGCCAAATGGAAGTTTAGACATGGTTTAGTACAGAAGATATTAAAGCTGCATTCCTGTCCTGGTGGTGACATGGTTGGGTGAAGTTAAGGTGTTTTTCTATTTCATACAGTTTATTAGTTGGGTTTTTCTCCTTTCAGGCACCTGTACATCTCCTCTCAGTTAACTTTTTAAATGTTTGACATGTGTGACAGTGGCTCAGTTGGTAGAGCATTGGCCTTTGAGCCTGAAGGTCGTTGGTTCGAGCCCACCACAAACACTTTGTCTCCCACTGATTTCTGCTGTTGTTGTGTCCTTGGTAAGACACTCTACCTCTGAGGACACCAAGTGCCACAGTTCCGGCAGCTGTGGCTGTAAAGTACCAAACTGCCTTTGTGTCCTTAGGCAAGACACTTCACCCCCATTGCCTACAATTAATCTGGTGTGTGTGAATGGTTGGTGGTGCCTCGCTTCTGTCAGTGTGCCCAGTGTGCAGCTTTGTAAGCGTCTTTGAGTGTCCAAAAAAGTGCTGTATAAAACCAATGCATTATTATTATGTGCTGCTAGTAAAATCATGCATATTGTACCAAAATAAGATTTATAATAATGTTTATGTAACGTCAGATATATAAACATTATTATAAAAAAAAAAATGTATTATCCAAACAGCAGGGGCATAACCCATTGTTTCTTGCATGGAAATTAATGAAATACTGTATATGGACTGACTTGTAAAGCTTTGGGGGAGACAGTGGTAGAGCATTGGCCTTTGAGTCTGAAGGCCGTGGGTTCAATCCCCCCAAGCCCCCGCTGATAGACCAAACCTGTGTCACCGATGACGGAGCAGCCATCTTCTTGTGCTGAGGGCATTGGGTAGCAGCTCTGATTGAGGATGGGTTAGTGCCAAGAGAAACCAATCAGCCACAACAGTTTTCTCATCAGTGAAATGAGGAAGTATAAAGGGGACAGGCTGTAAAAAGGTTGGGGACGAAGAACTGACAGAGGGACTGTAATGAGCCTGGTGCATGAGGAGAGTTTAGCGCAGACCTGGGCAAGGTGTGGCCCAGACTCTTCTACGGACCCAGTCCAGGACCAAAACATTGAAGGAAAGTGGCTTTGATCGTCATAGAAATATGCTACCTTTGAATTTGACATTCAAATGAAAAGATTGAACTACTCACATTTCGAAAATATGTTCTTTTCATAAAAAATATTCATGTAGAAAGAAACTACAGAAACAGAAGTTATGATGACTAAGAAATGTACAAATGAGTGAATACTGAACAAAAATAAAAAGCTGTCAAATTGACTGCTCTGGGAGTTCTAGTTTTACTCCAGGCAAATTCAGAGCAAGAATATAAACTCCAATAAAAAAAAAAAAACGCTCCTTAGAAACAGATTTAAATCAGAATAGAAATAATAACGTTACTCTCACCTCTATTTACATTCACTGTAAGACAATATTAGTCTTCAACAAGTGAAGCGTTAAAAGTATGTCTCACCACCTCCCCACCTGCACCCATGGGCCTCCTCCTCTGTCTGGAGCCGCAGACCTCCTCGCTCCCCCCGACCTGCTGGGAGCCATACGTAACATTTGTGAAGTCCTGCTCCACGTCCACAGCGGTGTTAGTGTAGCTGGATCCATTAGCGAGCGCAGAGTCAGGGCGCCGGTGAAGTGTGGGTAATGTGCTCCCACTGAGACCCGTTTAACCTGGAGGCTTAAAATATAGGTCTACCAGGAAGACGGTCTGCTCACACCGGGGCCTCTGCAGCACCGTCCTCTGGCTCCTCATGTTTTATGAGTCGGAGCGTTAAAGAAACTGATGTTGTTTGTTATAGATTGAAGTTCAACACTTTCAGGTCAAAGGCTCTTATTATTCTAAAGATTTTTTGTTGTTGTGATGTCTCTGTTTCGGCTGATCTTTGAGCCAATTCAAAATCTGATGTGGACCTTATACAGTGTTGGTAATACAATATATAGAAAATATCTGTCACACAATTGTAATGCAATACACCAGAAATGAAAAACTCGTCTAGGCAGGTTCTATGGCTGAAGGTATGTTCTCCTCTGCTGATCGTGCAGTGGCAGTGCATAAAAACAAAACAGGACTAAGTTGCCCTGGTCCCTCAAAGTAGCCACCTGGTGGAGTATGGCTTGGGTGTGGGTCTTTGTACTCAGGCTAACGTCCATGCTAGCTGCTCTGTGTTTAGCATTGCAGGGATACCTGTGACGCCCGGTCCCGGCTCAAAAAGGTCCATGAGCACGTGCACTGACATACTTTCAATACCACCCCGGGCCTGTGGGGGTGCCCCGGAAAGAGAATAATCCAATGTTTTTGTATGGCGTCTTCTTCCCCCTCAAAAACGGCTTTATAGGAAAGTCGCTCTTGGCCCAACATGGCTCCACATGTGTGTCAATGGTGAGGGGAGTATATTTTTTTGGACCAGTCTAGTTTAGTTGCTGTGGGCTACAGAATGCACTCGTTAAATGAATTGGGCTTGTGCAGCTAAATCATGTGCAAATGCGTTTTTTCAACAGTTTCCAGCCCCCGCGGCCATTTTGAAACTGCCCATAGAAACCAAAATGTCTGTGTCGTGTCTCTGTCTGTCTGTGTCTTGTCTGTGTCTTGTCTGTGTCTTTTCTCAATCTGTTTCTGTCTTGTCTGTGTCTTGTCTCTAAATCATGCGCAAATGCGTTTTTTCAATAGTTTCCAGCCCCTGCGGCCTTTTTAAAACTGCCCACAGAAGCCAAAAGTGGTGGCACATTAGTTTCAACGGTGGAGATAGGCGCGACTACGTTCGTTAACATTTACAGTCTATGGGTGGTACTTCATGTGAATGCAAACACAACCACGCTCTTATCAACGTTTCCATCCGATCATTTCCACCCACAGGGCTGATGCAGCTTATTCATTCATATTCACTGTGTGTTATTTTTGTGTAGTTAATGAAGCTTATTTAACGCTTCAAGTGTAATGTCATGTACCTTACTGAGCTTTGCACCAGGTAAAATATTTTTTTTGAATGCCTTACAATACTGTGTTACAGCAAAAGGTATTACATTTCAGAAATACAGTACTTTTGTAACACGTTACTCCCAACTCCCCAACAATATTGGTTATTATTATTTGTTTATCCATATCTCCTTCATCATGCATTAGAACAGTTCAAGTTTGAATGAATCCCATGTTAATCACATTACTCAGCACTTGCCCTCGTTGCATTCCATGAAATATGTTATCAGACAATGACACAGTTTCATTCATATTTTCAGAATTGTTTCAGTATCATTTGTATCTCCTCTTATCCTCAACTATGTCTAGACTCCGTGCATTGCCGTGATGTGAAAATTGTTGTCACGTTTTTCCATCTTTCTGTTGGAGAAGACTTGTTCTAGCGGTTGCGTGTCTCGGACTATATCACCCGACACACTATACTTATTACAACACACACAGCCAGAGCCGGTCCAACGCTGTGGTTTCATCATCAGTTTGGCATGAACTGAAAGCAGCAGATCCGAGCGCAGCACCTGACCCGCTTTTGCGTGCCCCCCGTCGTGCTGGCATCTGTGTAATGCCTGGCACTACAAACAGCCCTGGAATCCTTCAAACAGGGTTACCTCATGTGTGCAGTCATAAAGGAGTGCAGGGGGGCGAGGCGGGAGGGGGAGGGGGGGGGGGGTGGTTTGGCCTGGGCATCGGTCACACCTGCAGGATCGACGCCTGTGTCTGTGCCAAGAGAGAGTCAGCGAACAAAGCAACATCTGGAACAGTAAACGCAGCCCAAACCCGGAATGATGCATTATTTATTATTTACAGACTGTTAGCGCGCTATAGGTGTTTTCTCACACATGAAGCAACCCCACCATAATCCCCCTGTTCTTGTTTAGTCAGAGCAATGATGGGTAAAGGACCTTGCAGCTGGTTCGTACAGTAACTCTGTGTCACTGTGTGTTATCGGGAAGGAGACCACAAGATAGATAGGTACGGAAAATCAATACGGGGTCCAGCAGCAGAAACACATTCATCTAAACACACACATAAGTTCATACATTCTAAACTAACAATAGTGCACGTGTTCAACTCAGGCAGATCGATAAGATGTACAGTCTTATATATGAAAGGAACAATAGATTTGGATAGATTTGGATTTTTTTTAAATCTAGTCTAAAGACAAATTTTCACGCCTTGGTTTTTAACACCAATTGAGTTTTACCAATTTACTTTTACATGTAAGTGTATGTTTTTTATGACATTCACATCCCCTTAAAACCCTCCGTTATAGAAACCTTTTGCCACGGATACTCCTCTGAGCGGCCATTGTGTCATGCAGAAGAGTTTCCCAGTGTCTGGAGTTACCCAGGATGCCCTGCAGGAGAGCGCTCATCCTTCTCTCCAGCACAGAGATCACACTTCTGCCCCTCACAGAGACACATTTCCTGATCACCTGCGGACTGCCCTGCCCGACCCGCCTGGGAGTTCTTCAGTCCTGTACCGGACCTGTCCACGTTCAGCGGCTGCTGGTCCATGTTCTGTCGCTTAGGTCCTGGATCTATAGCCCGTCTGTTCGTGGGAGCGGATCCCTTTTGTCAACTGGGTCTCCCCGAGGTTTCTCACTTTTTTCACCCTGGGTTTTTGTGAGTTTTTCCTTGTCGATGCAGGAGGGTCTGTTGGGCAGTTAGTGTCCAACAAACAGGATGTGGTGATGATCCAGGACACTTTAACATTCTACAACATGTATGACATTTATCAACATGTGTTCTATATTCTTTTTGTGTCTTAACTGTTGATTCTCTGATCTGTGTTGGTGATTTCTATGGTTCTGTTAAGTCTCTGAGATGACTTCTGTTGTGATTTAGGGCTATACAAGAATAAATTGTATTGTATTGTATTGTATTGTATCACAACAGGACAAGAGCTTTTCACACAAACCACACTGGATTTGAATTGGATTTTAGTTCATCTTTCCTCTGCTCTCACTGACATTTTTACGGCATGAATGAACAACAACACACAGTCAATGTATTTTCTGTTGCAGAGGCTTGAGACTGACTCACCTCCCACTGTTCAGATCACTGAAAACATGAAATAACATTATCATTATCAACAATAGATGAAATATAATCTGTGTGGCTTTGATATCCAGGCCCAGAGTGAACATTTATGCACTGATCTGTGCCTTATGGACCAATGCCTTTATGTGTTTCCTATCATTGCATTTCTTGACTTTGAACTGTTTGATTCTCTGATCTGTGCTGGGAAATCGACAAATGTGTAAAGTCCTCCGGTCTGTCTCTGTCTGTTTCTGTCTGTCTCCATCTGTCTGTGTCTTGTCTGTCTCCGTCTGTCTCTGTCAGTCTTGTCTGTCTCTGTCTGTCTTGTCTGTCTTGTCTGTCTGTCTCTGTCTGTCTCCGTCCGTCTCCGTCTGTCTCCGTCTGTCTCCGTCTTGTCTGTGTCTTGTCTGTCTCTGTCTGTCTCTGTCTCCATCTCTCTGTGTCTTGTCTGTCTCTGTCTGTGTCTTGTCAATGTTTGTGTCTTGTCTCTGTGTCTTGTCTGTCTCCATCTGTCTGTCTCTGTCTGTCTCTGTCTGTCTCTATCTGTCTCTGTCTGTCTCTATCTGTCTCTGTCTGTCTCTGTCTGTCTCTGTCTGTCTCTATCTGTCTCTGTCTGTCTCTATCTGTGTCTTGTCAATGTTTGTGTCTTGTCTCTGTGTCTTGTCTGTCTCCATCTGTCTGTCTCTGTCTGTCTCTGTCTGTCTCTATCTGTCTCTGTCTGTCTCTATCTGTCTCTGTCTGTCTCTATCTGTCTCTGTCTGTCTCTGTCTGTCTCTGTCTGTCTCTATCTGTCTCTGTCTGTCTCTATCTGTGTCTTGTCTGTCTGTGTCTTGTCTCTGTTACTTTCTCTCTGTGTCTTGTCTCTGTCTGTTTCTGTCTGTCTCTGTCTGTGTCTTGTCAATTTGTGTGTCTTGTTTCTGTGTTTGGTCTGTGTCTTGTCTGTGTCTGTCTGTCTCCATCTGTCTGTGTCTGTCTCCATCTGTCTGTGTCTTGTCTGTCTGTCTCTTGTCTGTGTCTCGTCTGTCTCTTGTCTGTGTCTTGTCTGTCTTATCAGTTGGATATTCTTACCTGTCCATCCTCTTTTGTTTTGCCTTTTTTATTCATGGATGCCTGTATGATTTTTATTGGTTGCAGAGACATTTTTTGGCCCTAGTTGGGGCATCTTTTTTTTGTTTTGATCTGTCATGAGTTATCAGGCCTTGAAATAATGCAAATAAAGACAATTATATAAAATAACAATTGAGTTTGCCGTTAACTCATTTTGGGAAAAGGCAGAACATAACTGATGGAACAGACAGGAGTATAGAAGCCTGAAATCCAACATGAAAGTCAACAGAGGTAAACTATGGGCAAGAATCCACGAAGGGAAAACTGTTATCCCAAGTTTCTCCGGTGGAAACAGATGTATAACGTGCTCGTCTCCCTCTCGCACACACAGCAGCTCCCTAATGGCCGTAATGAGAGATATTAGCGCAGATATGACGAGAACGACCTGTTCCGTAAACACTGCTCGAGTTTCAGCATTTATACCTTTCTTTCTTTTCTCTCTCTTCGCTCGGTGCCAGATCCCATCAGGCCGAGCGGCTCCAGTCAGCCGCGGAGAGGGCCACAGGTGAGCTCGCTGTTGTAGCGCGCTCCTAATTCAAGCGTGAAATTGCTCGCACGTTCATTCATCATACACGCAGCGCTGACGGCACAAACAATGACCTCAGATCCACAAAAAAGAGGCTTATTTACGCA